ACTCACCTAGCAAGTTCCATTCTCCGTTTTCCACATAGTAAGATATGTCCATCCCTTGTTCCGATATGTTCATTCCCTCGGGCCCGTTAATGCGTAAATCAATGAAGTTGCCGCTGTAAGTCCATGAACCGAACTGCAATGCTTTCTTAGTACCTTACTTAAGACCTAGGGATTTGGATTACATACGCCAAAGCCAAGTAATTCCATGGAGCACTTTTTGAGCCCGAACGGCTCGCCGCTGTCAAGGCGCGCTTCCAAATGATAGTCATAAATCACGCCAGCGACGGGCAAGCTGGTGCGTGCTTTGGTCAAGCTTCAGGACTTTATTGAGCCGTAGAACACCTCAGAGGTTCAGTCGATTAAAGTGCGGACTCATAACGTAATAACTTTACTCCTAAGCATATCTTAAGGTATTCTCGATTCCCATTGGCAAAGGAGACCTTGCTTGGCTGATAGTTATCAGTCATGATCTTCAGTTAAATCAGGAAGAAAGGTACGTAACTAACTAACATGAAACAAGTACATTAGTAATGTAGGATGGCTGAAAAGTGTAGGAGTTATTTGGCTCCCGCGAGAGTTACTGTAACGCCGGTAACGACATCTTCACTCATTCTTTCTAGCTGCACTATTTTTCGTATGATGAAATAGCTGTTTGATGACAGCGATAGCGAAGGATCTATACAATGAAGAGGAAATGGCTATGGCTTACGTGTGAACTAATTATTATAAGCTAGCTGCTAAGTCATTTTGGTTGTTCAGTAAAAATGATACGATGTTGTAGTGCTCGCGAGAATCACGAGTGAAAATATGCAAAAGAGCTAGACCACTTTATCTCCTGCAAGATGCGAACATAAACTACTTTTTGTATTTATCTTATCGATTATCCCAATACAGCATTTCTTTCACTAACCTTCAGGTGACACATTTGATCGTCAAAAGGAAAATACGTGATATCAATCTTGCAAGACAGTTTGAGGATTCCGGGTGGTACCTGCAGCACATGACCGGTATGACTTACAACGTAATTAACAGGATATGTAGAGTCGAAACTCTCGTCAGCGCTGAAAAGCCAGAATCATTAATCGTTTGCTCATTAAGCATGTAATTTTACCTGTTATATAAAAGTACGTCAGGCTTCCATATAGCATTTGCATTTCCCGGCACACGTATGTCTTTGATACCGCCATACTCTGATGGTTGCCATTTCAGCTTGTAGTCCGTCCACTGATATTCGATCCAAGCTACAAGAGTGATGACTTGATTTTTTTCGTCCTAGAAAATCTTTGTTCGAAGCGTCCTCTACCACGGAAGCCCTGATTCACCCACAACATCAAGTATCTGCTGCAGATAGATTTTCACACTGACGACAAGAGGTTCTGAAGCATTGGCGACAGGCCGTTCATAAGGGTCGTAATTATGGCGAAGGTCCGAGAGGAGCCGATATTCGTCAGGACTTGCTATGCTAAGGTGGCACAACTGGAGGCAAAACAGGCTCAGAGCCAAGATACGAAACAGCAGCTGGAAAGCACAACCTTGATGTAACTGATCCGGGTCAAAGCCGATATTCTTAAACCAGAGAAAAATTTAAGAAAATCACCATAGCGATCAAAATCTTGCTCGTGTCACATAATAAAGTGTGGCGAAACGAAAGACTGCCGTATTTTAACGAGAAGCGGTGCAAATGTGGGATGAGAGGGATTTGCTCCCGCTTCCCTGCTTTACTTGCGCACACCCCCAGAGACTAGCAGCTCCATCAATAGGCCCATTACGGCACAATTCGTTTTTGTCACCGGAGAAAGTAAATGAAGGATTTGACGATGGAAGAGATTTAAACTTCAGCCATGTCACATCCTCTATTAGTGTGCCAGAAACTCGCAAGCTCTAGTTGTTGCAGTCCCTTCGTGGGTCGACATTTAGCACAGCTTGCGATAAAAGAGCAGAGAGGGAGAAAAGTTGGAGAAATAAGGAAGAAAGCGGAATGAAAAAACAGTAGTTGCATTCATAATGCTGAGGGCGCAAGGGCGGAGCTCGGAACATTTTGGGTGAAATATAAAAAACGAGCTGGCATCCCAGGTTCCACCCTGG